AGCTTAGGTAGTATTCTCCGTGCTTATATCTACTTTGATAAGTCAGATATGACTAAGGTAGGCTAACAAGGGCCAATCTGGCCCTAGATGGTGCAAGGTGGCCCACGGAGGGTGAGCTCCTAACAATTAGGCTATACGAGCTACTTACTAGATAGCGAGTACGCTACTTAAGAAAGCCGCTCGTCTTAGTAGTATCTTATTTAGACTACTTATCTACTAGTAGAAAGAACTCTATCACTAACGCCCGTACGTAGTAGACGAGAGAGCTAAGTATAGGTAAGAACTTAGTAGCTATACGTAGACAGCTAGTCTCTAGATAGATACTAAGAGTAGTAAGAAAATAGACTATCGCGCTAGCAAAGGGCTGCCCATAGAGCTCCTAGTAGATAAGAGCGTAGGATAGGCGCAGCACGTACGTACGCTGCTTAGCTATTGTAGTAGCGCTACTGTCGTACTAGAAGAGGTACTTCTAGAGCCGCTCTGCTGCTAGCTTCTGCTTACTATACCAGGGGAAGAGACTAGCAATGCTGCCCAGCTCGGGCACTGCTGGTGCTGCTGGATCTGCTAGAGCTGCTAGAGCTGCTGGGAGCTGCTGGCGTCGCCGGCGCCTGGTCAACAGCTACTACACGGAGGCAGTAGTAGAGTAGCCGTGCTCAGAGTTGAGCCGCGCGTAGCTGGCTAGCCTTGTTTTGCATACGGCTAAACGGCCAGATTTTAGGCCCTTAAAGCTTTATACTACGCAGCTAGCGTAGTATATCGTAAGAGAGCGTAATAAGTCCTTATATAGCTTTCTCTACTAGCTCTTTAATAAGCTATATAACGCGCCAGAGCTATAGCTTCTCTGCTACTAAGAGACGTATAAGGTATAATAGTAGCTACTAGTCTAAGTAAGCCTATAGGTACTCGTCCTACTATGTCCGCTTAAACTAACCTATATAGTCTTTAGTATTAGCTTCTTCTACTATACGCTCTATAGTCTTATAATCGCTAGGCTTAATAGCGTCGTACTTGAATAATAGATAGGCTAGCCGCTGGTGATAGCTCGCTGTCTAGTCTTCCTCTGCTATCTCTTGTCCACGCTGCTCCTGCTGCCCCGGCTGCTGCTCCTGGACAACAAAGTAGCGGACATATCGCTTCTTGCGGAAGAAGGTCTACACCTTAATAGGCCTCTATAGCTAAGTAGCGTACTTAGCGCACGAGGTAGCTAAGATAGTAGGCTAGTAGGTAAGCTTAATTCTATGCTACTAGTTAACGTATTTCTATATCTGGCTATAGCTTATAGTAATAACGCTATATACTATATTATAGTAGTAGATAAATATATCTTCTAGCGCGCCTAGCTCTACTAATAGTAGCCTATAGGGGTTAGGTAGAGGCACTTAGTCTAGTAATAAGAAAGAGAGATTACTATACGCGCTAAGTAGCACTCTTCTATTAACTACTAATAGTTCATAAAGGCGCTTAAGATGCTCGTCTATGCTATAAATAGCACAGTAGTACTCGCGGCAAATAAGAACGCGGTAGGTAGATAGATAAGTGAGTATAGCTATCTAGTAGTATTCTATATTTTAGTTCTTTGCTATTCTCTACTACTTTATACTTCTACTTACGTACTTACGTACTCGCGTACGTGTTTTAGAGCTAAGGTAAGAGCTAGGTGGGGGGGGGGGGACGGGAACAATAGTAAGCTAGCACATGGCAAATTGTTCGGATGAAGAATTCGGCCTTACTAAGTTGTCCGAAATTTTCAGCCGAATAGGTAAGTCCGGATATCGCACCCAAACGGACGAAGATTATATACTTCTGTAATTTAGAATTATATTAACTATAGCGTACCTCACGGGCTCGTCGGACACACGGGTTCGCCGGACACTTTTGCCAAGCCCTTACCAAAACCACCATATTATGGCCTAAAATAGCCTACTTTAGACCTATATAGCGCAAAGAAATATAAGATATTATTCTAAGTCTACTTTTACTATCTACTTATACGTTTATATACTATGCCTAGTCTTATTATACTAT